TGTCTTGGGTTATGTGTGGGGGAGGGTCGGGGGGGGGGGGGGGGGGTATATATAGCCTATATATTAGGCTATTATATGGTATTATAATAACATTATATAGTGGTTCAACGCATTATATTGTGTGTTTTTTTTTTTCCGGATAAGCAAGAACATTTTTTTTTTAAAGCACAGAGAATGACAATGCTATGAGGGGTTTTTGACAGGCTAAGTTTATGTATACGCAACTCGGTATTTCCGCGCTGTCTGAAACGCGTCTCTATGCTTGTGCACGCTTTGATTGTGTGCGAGAACAGTGCGTGAGTAACGAATTGAGCTCTCTTTTGTTTCTTCTTCTTGTGGTTTAAAATTGCTTGTACGTATAAATTGGCAAATTAATCTGCGAATCACGTGCGTGCCGAACGGTTGGGTCTCATCTGTACATATTACGGATCAACTGCGATCCGTTTAACTCCTAATATGTGACCGATCAGAGCAATCTTTCATTTACTTATTTAACATTAAATTGTCAAATTTCTACTTCATATCAATCGCATACAATGAAAATACAGAATAATTAGAACAATCATTAACAAATAAATAACAGAGTGTCATATCTATAGGCCTACACATTTTTCCCAGAACGTTCTTGCGACCCGGTAATAATTCTTCCACGCCCGGTAGTGGGTGGGGACCTCTGATTTAAGAGGACGGTTTGAGACCATCGCCTTACCTGTAAGTTTCAAATGGTCCGAGTTTGGTTTGGTCAGTATGGTCCAGTATGGTAGATGCCAAAACCTTTTGTTTGTTTTTTTTTTCATTTGTTTGTTTTGTGCCCGAAATTGTATGAATCTGATAGTGCTCTTCAGGTCTTTGCTCAAGATTCAACTACAAATCATCATCTCTCCTCTTGAACTTTTGTGCAGGTTATGTCCTTTGAGTTTAATAAAGCTGTGTGCATCTGGATTGAGCCACTGCCAGTTGAACCACTAAAACATTCCTTTTGACTGCAAATTCATCCACCTGTTTTACAATTCATCACACTCTTTCAGGAGAGTGGAGTATTATTCAAGAGCCACAACCCTTGTTCATTTGTTTGTTTTGTGCCCGAAATTGTATGAATCTGATAGTGCTCTTCAGGTCTTTGCTCAGGATTCAACTACAAATCATCATCTCTCCTCTTGAACTTTTGTGCAGGTTATGTCCTTTGAGTTTAATAAAGCTGTGTGCATCTGGATTGAGCCACTGCCAGTTGAACCACTAAAACATTCCTTTTGACTGCAAATTCATCCACCTGTTTTACAATTCATCACACTCTTTCAGGAGAGTGGAGTATTATTCAAGAGCCACAACCCTTGTTAATATAAGCATGTTTGATGGAATCTCACAATTTTTATAGTGATAGCACTGTGGTTTGTTCATTTCGATCCCTGCAGGGAAAAGTGATAAGATGTATAATTGGATGCATTGAGATTCTAAGCTATGAGGCGTTTGTGCAGGCAGGTATTGATGTCACTGTGGGTCAATGCTGCTTGAATCTGAGCACGGGAGTTTCAGAAGGGACCTACTCCATGTCTGGGTTTAGGGAGTCTACGAAAACCTGTGGTCAATATCACGGAGTGAAATGTCACTTGGTTATTTCCTTACTTTTAAGTAAAACTTTATTTCTTGCCTTTGAGGTTGAAATTCTAAGATTTTAATATACTCAGATTTCAGATCTGCACTCTTAAAAATAAAGGTGC